TGGTGAGTGGGCAAGTTAAAATGGAATTGTAGGCTGATTTCACAACTCTTTCTCCATGCTCAGAGAGGGTTTTGAAATATAGTGTGATGTGGCATGGGAATCTCTTGCTCTCTAGAGTCAAGCTTGACCTCTAGGGAATCCTCGAGATTTACTTCTAGTTGGGACCAAATAGAATTTTCCTATTTTTATTTTCTTATAACTATTTTATCACAATGTAACCACAGATTGAGAGCCAGTTTAGTGTAGTAGCTAAGGAGACAGACTAGAAACCAGAAGACTCTGAGTTGGTGCCACCTTACCACAAGGCCAGGTCAGTGATCTTAGGTCAGTCACTTCTCTCAGCTCTAAGAAGAAGGCAATGGCAAGCCATTTCTGAAAAATGCTGACAAGAAAACTGCAGGGAACAGTTGCCAGGGGTTCAAAACTGAAGGTTCACATTTCAATTCTGAATTATAGATTATGTTTCTCTAGCTGATTATTGTTCTTGTTGGTTTTTAATGAGCAATCATTATTTTGTTTATTTTAATACCTCCCCCCACCTCAAACATTCAACATCTGAGTTCAATATTTCATCAACAGTGCATCTGAGAATAATCATATAGCTGGGCTGAGGAAAAAGTTACTTTACAGACTGCTAAATTATATATTATGATAATTAAGAATTTGACTATACCATCTTTTTCCTTTTGTCCTGTTCTGTGGGTGGTTCTTCTTCTTCTATCACTTTGGGTTCTTCAGAAGTAGGCATCAACATGCAACTAAAAAAACAAATGCAAACATATTAGGCTTCCAATCATTCTAAGAAGCATTTTAAGGAATTCTACAAATATGTGCTTCTCAAAGCTAAAGACTTATACAGAAGTATCCATAAAGATTTTGTCAATACAGGAGGAACAATGATAAAAACTTGAAAATGCATTTAAAATATTATCTATCTTTATGAGCCAATCTAAGAGTAATATATAATCACATTTGTACTATTTCCATATAAGAATAATATCGAAATGCATTTACTCCCTCTAGTGACAAACTAGGACTAAAATGAGTTACCTATTCTAGCAGTTGAAATGCAGTATGCACATACAAATTAAATGTTCTACTTACTCTTTGAATGTTCTTGTTTCTATATCTTCAGTCATAACATCATGTAACCCTTCAACTGAAATATTTATGATACCACAAAATTTATCTTGGATAATACTAGAAAAGACATGGAAATTATTTAAATTGTTTAAAGAGGAAATGTTTAGCATTACTTTTAATATATCACTTAAATTTTATTTTGTTTAATGCTTAGCTGATCACACTGATAAATGGCTTATCCAAAAACTAAGAATATCCTGGCTTCAGAATACTGTATAACAACCAATGTTATATAGTTTCTACATGGAAGACAATTTCTAAAAATGAGAGAGCACATGCTACTTAAATAGAGCATAATCTAAGTATAAAAAATCAGGCTGCAATTATTGACTTTTAAACAAGTGTGGCACAATTTACCTTGACAATTCCAGTCACATTGGCCTACATATGTTTAATAACATGATTTTTATTTAACCAGTGAGAAAACTCCCTGCTCAATTGCTCAATTCTTCCCCATGTAACCATACAGCTGCCCTGAAGGGTTTCCCAAGCCTCAAGTATATATTGAGGAATACAGTCAGTTGCAAAGAAAAAGGAATTAATTCTGTCATCTGTTTTCATTCTCCTTGTAGACAAGCCTTCTTTTTTGAAACAGTCACTGTTATATGTCACAGCACTGATTGTTTATTAGGTGGACAAAGGATTTCACTTCAAGAAAACAGGCTGATATTACACTGTTACCATCAACAGGACCTATGCATCCACACTGTGACCCAGAAAATTAGGGTGCTAAGATTTCCCTAATTATTCAGGGATACATGTTTAATTATATGGATGATTTTAATTACCAAAAATTAGTAACAGTACTATTATTTTTTCTCTGGATGTATACATGTATCATACTAAATACAAGTCTGTTCTGTTCTACAAAAAACAAAAACAAAAAAACCCCAAAACCTTTTTTATGTCTTGAAATTATTTTATGATCACATTTTCACCAAAATAATAAAATACAAAATGCAGCTCAGGAAATACTATTGTAGTTACAACAGGCAGAGATTATGCTACAGGTTTGGCAAATGAGCACCATGGATGTCATGATACCCACAACACCATAAGATGGCATCCACTGACTTCAAATGTTTATAGTCCAAAATCTTACAAAACTTCCAGGGTCTTTTGTAAGACTTTTGCCATTTTTAATCTTTTAAATATAGTTTAAATTTAAATTTTAAAAAACAGAAGTCCACAAGATTATGCAAGATTGCACAATAGTGCTCACAACTTGAAAAGACTGATGACTATGAGCAGGAAATGTCATTTGCATAAAGGTACCATTAACTATCTCCAACAGATAACAATGTCTTGTACTTTTATAAAAGTAGTCGTCATCAGCATAATTAGCATAATTTATACTTTAAAAAACAAAACAAAATGCTCCTACTCTACCAATTTAAGGAGGGAATCAACTACTGTAATGCATTGATCTATTGTACTGAGTCAAAACTTTCCATCCTTTTACTAATTATTGACTTGTCCATTAAAAAAACATTCTAATAAAGAAAAATGTGAGCAAACACAACATAGTATGTTGGATTCACACAGTCTCCTTAATAGAATCTTGAAAACAAAATAAGTATACTCCAGCCCTCATTTTATTAATGTGTACATTTGTGAGCTGTTTGATCCTATTTTTTAGTCTCTCTAATAGATGGACTGTCACCTAGCTTAAGAGATAATGCTGAAATGTCTACCTTGTCCTTGCCTTTCATGTTCTGAAAACCTCCTTTATCTTTCCTAGACTCTTAGAAGGCCCTTACAAAAGCTGTCTACTAGGATCCAAATAAGAAAAAGAAGAGAATCACACACTATTTTACTAATCATAACCAGTTATAATAGTTATGAAAATAACTATTATAAAAATGGGAACCAAAACCAGTTCTTAGAACAAGCTATGTACTTGCTATACATACTTTAACTATGATCCACTAGATCAGTGGTTCTTAAACCCCATATCCTGGGGGTAATGGAACAATTTGCAATTCTTTATGAGTCAAAGATCTAGTTTGTGACTCCTGCTGCCAAGACCCTTGTGTAAAAGAGCAGTTTGTCTTTTTTGTGGAGGTAACGATTCTTGAAGACCAGGAAAAGGGGTAATTGAGTCAAACAGTTTAAGAACCACTATACTAGATTCAATAATCTGGAAATGCATCATTTTGCAGAAACATTTATAATTTCATGATATTGGGTTGAATCATGTATCTTAATATTTCCTCATTTCTCCTACAGCATCCAGGAAGCAGAGATATTTCCATTTGAATTGAAAGAAGAAGGAAGTTGGAAGCATAGGTATTTCCATTTGAAAAACAGGTAAGCGGTTCCCTCATTTTTATTGATTCTCCTTTTCTGCTACTGTCACCATGTTGCTTGAGAAGGCCCAAATCTCAGGGGTAATACAACAGACTATAGTAAGAAAGTTCCATTTTGAGAGCAGAACTTGACAATACTCAGGAATATTAAAATTCAAACCAGTATATAAACCCAGCAATAGTAATTAACAGAATTATGAAGTTATTCATCTCCACCTCTCTATGACTCCAAATGATCTCTACCATTCCAATTTATCTTAGTTTTTTTGTTCTTGGAATAGGAGCACACTTTTAAATCAAGTATAAGATGCAGTATGCATTGTTTCTATTTTCTAAGAATGCCCAACTGGGACTACGTAGGGCCATAAGGTACTCTAGTAAATAAAGATGATGCTTGCTTTGTACCATGGCAGCTAACTGTTTTGTTTTCTAAATTAAACATCTTTTAAAAGGCTGGAAATTGAAGCCTAGTGGTCTAAAGGAAAATTCCATGGGCACATTAGTGCTCCCCAAAAGAGCTAGTGAGGAGTAGAGTTTCAAAGTTAAATATAGCTCATCTGTCATATACCTAATGTCAGAATAGCCCCACAGGCTGGGAACATATTCCTGGCCAGCAATTAGACTGCCCAGTTAAAAAGGTCCTGGGCTTATGAAAACCAAACTATGAATTATAATTAATAAAATCTGTGGCTTTTTAAAATCTCTCTCTCTCTCTCCCTCCCTCTCTTTCACTCCAGTATTTACTATTAATTCTTATTTCCCACAAAATAAGACATCAAAAGCAGAGGAAATACAATGTGAGTACATGTGAGCTGCATATGCATTGTCCAGAATGTATATGTTACACATACATTAATAGATGTGTACACATCATAATGCATTTTTTAAAGATGTTAGTAAAGTTCCTGGAAGGTTATAATTATCCCATGTACCAAATCCAGATTTTTTTTTCCTTCTGTGAATGGAAGAACCCATGTGCTTTGAAAGAGACTGATATTCGAACTAAACCTCTTTTCTCCTACTCCTCCTGCTTTCTGCACTTCTTTAAGAACTATTTGGCCTCCACCACCAGAGTGTTTTTTTAAAGGGCAAAGAAAACTGTATGGGAAGAAGTTGATAAAAAACTTCTGCTATTTCCTCTAGCTGAAGTGCTATGGGCTATTAAAAAAAAAACTCCAATATTCAAAGTGCTTCCATTGTGACTTCTATCAAAGGGAAATGTGGGTTGAAACCAAGTAAATAAATTTTCTTGTAAATTGTCTCTTTAATTATTCTTGATAATTTAATTATTACCTATGAATTAGAACAGATATACAATCTCTTTAGAACACTGCGCTTTGTTATAGTGCTAACATTTTTTCACAATATTTTCATAATAAAAACTGTCTTAGCCAACAAATATTACTGAGTTTCATGATGGCGTCAGTAATAGCTAGTTGCAGGAAATAACAGAAATTGTTTCTAGAAATCTATCAATACTAATGAACAGTAAAAAAAAAAAATCCTGTTCTTTTAAGACAATATTTAATATCAAATATAGGCAGAATACTAAACATAAAATAACATTAATTATTAATGAATAATTTCTACAGGCAGGTCAATTAAAATTGAATAATTACAGATAAAATACATTTATAATAATTAAAATGCAGATATTAAAATTAGAGCAAAATATAAGGTTTGCAAAAAAATTAGCTTCAATTCAACCTCCCACCCCAACATCATTAGTTAAACTTTTATTTACAAATTTCACATACTGTTACTATTTGGGCTTTTATACATGCGAAAAGAAAATTTGTGATGAGTGTATTAAAGCGCTGAATGTTCAAATAAGATAACCTGTGCTTGGTTTTCAAGGGCTGTTGGTTTAGAAAGTTGAACATGGTCCAATTCAGAATTTTCCAGTGGATTCTGGGGTACAGTAACATTGTAACTACCAGCCTGATAAAAGCCATAGTATTCTATTGCATTGTCAGAGTTCTTTTGTACACTGCATTTCTGTTTCAATTTAATGATTTTGTAGAACAAAAAGATGATCACAGAACAGGCCAAGATGAAAAAGGTTAATAAAATGTCAAAAGCCTGCTTTAGTTTCTCTACCTGCTGTGCACAAATCGGTGATGTTTTAAATGATCTAGAAACAGCTTCAGGATATAGTACTTTATTTTCTTTCATGGTCAAATTAGCAGGTATCTTCTGTGTTGCTATTTGTTCCTGTTTTGGCTTCCTACTAGAATGTTCTTCATAGATATTTTGATAAGCAGATGTAGAGGATACTTTTGCCAATGAAGTCACTGTATTTGCATTAAAGTTCAACTGTTCTTTAACTGTATTAGTTGTGGGGTGTTTACTTTGTGCCATTAATGAAGTAGTAAAGCTCTGATGGATTCCTGCAGATTTATTGTTCTTGAAAATTTCAGGACTTCTACTGTTGAAACAATTTCTAAACAAATGCAAGTTAGCATAATTCATATACTTTCCATGCAAATTGGAAGGACTTTGGCAATGGAGTTTTATGGAGACAGAAGAAGATGCTAGCCAATTCATCAATCTATGTAATCTGCAGCTACAGTTCCAAGGGTTGTAATTTGCCTGTAAGTGAGTTAAAGAAACCAAAGGCTTGAGCACTGTAGGCTGTAAAAATGTAAGATTATTGAATGCTAGATTGAGTATCTTCAAAGAGGATCCCATTCCTTCAAATGTATTATCTGCAATATCAATTATTTTGTTTCTGTCAAGATGCAGAAACATTAAATGATCCAACAGTGAGAAAGTATGGGAATTGATTTTTACTAAATTATTATCGCTCAAAACTAGCTTCTTAAGATTAACCAGCCCTGAAAAGCCATTTGCATTAATAGTGTTTATTTTTGCACTTTTTAAAAACAGATATTCAAGCTTGCTAAGTCCTTTAAATGCAAAAGGAGGAATTGACCCAACAGGGTTTAGTGACAATGAAAGTCTTTGAAGTTTCCTCAACACTAGAAGCGCAGTGGATGGCACACATGTTAAATTATTTCCTTCGAGGTACAAACTTGTAAGATTATCAAGGTGATGGAATGCTGTTTCTGATATCTGTGAAATCTTATTGTTTGCTAGATTAAGAATCCGGAGATTAATCATGCCAAAGAAAATGCGGCTACCAAGGATCCTGAGGCAATTGTTTTGAAGCATTAGATAGTAAACTGAAGCAAGGTTACTAAATAATCCTCTAGAAACAAAGGCAATTTCATTATTCTGCAGATATAAAGAATGAAGATTTGAAAGTCCTTCAAATGTTCCAGGATACAAATATTTTATATGATTATTATTCAGCTGTAGATACCATAATTTTTTCAGTTCAGCAAATACCTTTGGATATACATATAAAATGCTAGAATTATCCAAGTGTAGCACAAGCAGCTGCTGGAGGCCTATCAGTGTGTTTGGATTTATGTGTGATATATTATTGCCACTTAAGTACAGAAATAAAGTATTCTGTGGAAAATTATTTGGGATAAATGAAAGACCTGAATTACAACAGTCAGCTTGTCTGCCTGTACATTGCTGGCAAACTGATGGACAACAAAATATATCCTTTTGGATCATCAGCAGCAGAAGACAATTAAGAATATGCCGAAACGACTCAAAGTGATGAAGTTGATACATATCCCAGGCTTTGACTCTCCCAGTCATCTTTGATTGTGCTATCAGAAAAAAAGTTTAAAAACTGCTTATTCAAAATTCTCATATTTCATTATTTTATAAGCATTACTTATACAATTATTTAACAGTGCTTTATAATATTTTGTTTCATTGTTTATCATATTGCTTATTTTATAGTTAAAATTTATATTTACAATATTTGAAGATGGTTAGTAATAAAATTATATGTAGTTTACATTATTTCAACAGAATGTAAAACTTGATACAAAGTTGTCAGTTAAGTTATATTGTAAGTTATATTCTGCAATCTTTAATATGACTCATCCTTCATAGCTGCAAAAGGAAATTTCTCCTCCCCATTTCCTATCTGAGTAGCTTACATTGTTAACATTTCTACTATTCTAAGTTTAAAAATATATTAAAATTGTTCTCACCCAGAATATGAAGCTCATTTTGTCAGTTAATTTTTTTTCTTCTGTTGCTCAGCTGAATTGCTAATACTGTTACATATATATATATATATAATATTTATATATATATATCATATATATATATGAGAGAGAGAATTTAACTACTTTCTAAATAACATGTAAGTTTCTCACAGTTTGCCTACCAGTTGTGCAACTGTTCCTACAGGAAATACTACTCTTCCCATCGGCTCCTCTATAATGACTGGTTGAAATCAAGTTACCATGGATACAGGAAACTGAGAGACAGGAAGTCATTTTATCTGCAGTTCTGAAATACTGCTGGAAAAAAAAAATCTCTGTAACTTATTCTAAAACTAAACTTGATACATTTGTCTTTTTAAACTACTGTATATGTTGAAGCAAATCTAAATATAAGAGTAATTAAATAAGTAATGTGTTTGTAAATGATGAAAGCAATTGCTTATAAGAGAAAGAAATATTTCACTGTATTCAACTTTAAAAAGTTTTTTTGCCCACAAACTACTATTAAAAGAATTATTATGGTCCACACAGAATACCTGAATGAACATATATGAAATAGTTACAGATAGCAAAAATGATAGCATATGGTTATAAAAAAATCACTTTCTAATCTGTGGTCTCTTCCATACTGCCCTTGGCTTTGCTCAACTGTCACCAGCTTTTTTGTGATGCTCTGTGAGTGTTTTCACACTTTTTTCCTTTAGCCAGCCAGCACTCCTTCCATTTGGTCAATGTGACAGCACTATAAACCACAGAAGCTTTCCACCCTTCCTTGTTCTTTGCTTGCTGCATTTGTTTTTTCACAGCAAGGGAGAACAAAGTAAAAATAAACAAGTGTCCACTTTATGGAGGCACAGCAAAGCACTCCCCAAAGCAGCCAGAAAATAATTACAGAGTTTTTGTTTCAGGAGGGAAGGGGAAACTCCAGAAGACAGAAATTTCCGTGAAGAAAAGCATGCCACATAACTACAAAGGAAAGCCCTCAAACCTGCCTCTAGTGTGCTTCCTCTGGAGCAAGTAACTTCAGAAGTTAATTGCTCGAAGCTCCACAATATGGGACACATAAGGGTGGTACTGATCTCAGACTGGTGATGTTTGTGCATGTGAAGTGGTCCTAACAAATGCTGCAGAATAGACAAGACACCTGATTTCTCAAAGTTCTCCTTGAAGAGGAAGTGTAGGCACTGTGCTACAATGAGGAAAAAAAGCCCTCTAATTGGCCTGATCCAGCCAATTATCAGTCATTGTATTAACATTTATTTCTTACATAAAGATTCCCATCTTCTGAAAGGAGGTGTTCGCAAGGCCCTTGCTTAAGAAGCCATCTTTGGCTGGCCAATTTTAACAAATGTCTGGTGCCAATAATTCACTTTCATTCAAACTGATCATAATGGTTGCATCCTCTTGATGCTTTTCCATCTGGATATAGAACAAAAAATGGCTGTGGCTGTCCTGATGGATGCTTATTACCAAGAGAAAGACAAGGGAAATAAAATCTTGTTGATATTCTGGGATCTTTTGATATTATTGACAATGGTATCTTGATACCAATAATTTTAATAACCTTTACCATGCCTAATAACATTTACTATGTTGTTTTTTCGGAACATTTGGACCTGGACATTTGGTTTATAGGTGCCACTTTAAAATCTTTCCACTCTACTTTTCCTCTACCACTATTAGAGGTACTGAGAGACTTCTATTAAACTCCCCAGGAATTTTCCTAAGGAGCCCAAGCAAAACTTTTTCCCCCTCTTGTTTATGTTACTTTGTATCTATATGAAGGATCATTCACAGGTTTGGAGCTTGCTGTCATCAATATGTTGATCATAATCCTTTCCTGTAGTTTGGAGTTGGGTATCTCCAGGGTTTCTGAATGGCTCCAAGCCATAAAGAACTGGAAATGGTACTAGATGTGGAAGAACAACCTAAAACTAAATATGGGCAAAACATTACTGATTCCAGGACAGGATTTTAGGATTCAGGGGATATGGCTGTTCTGGTTGGGGGTGTACTTAGGCAATAGAGAACCATAGAAAAATGATCAATTAGGCATCAAATTCAATGCTCTGATCAGTATAGGAATCCAAATGAAAGCAGAGAGACTGCTGTCTAGGCTTCACTTGAATGCATCCCATGAAAGAGTCCCTACCACTTCATGGTGGGGAATGATGAAACACTCTCATAATTAGGAAGTTTTTTTTCTAGTATTCAACCAGACTACCTCCTGTAATTAAATTAATTATTCTATTAATTCTAGATTCTGGAATAAGAGAGAATATACTTTCACCATATTCTCTGTGACATCCTTTCTGATATTTGAAAAGTGCTACTGTATTTCCTCTCAGTTGACTTTTTTCAAGGCTATACATAACCAGATCATTCAGTCTCTCTTCACAGATCATTTCCTAATCCCTTAATCATCCTTGCTGTTGTTCTCTGAAGCTGTTACAATTTCTCTGAATTCTTCTTATAGTGTGGAATCCAGAACTGGACACAGTATTTGAAATGTGGCATGAGCAGAATAGAGCGGGAACAATTACTTCCCATGATTTGTAAATTATTATGTTGATGCAGCCCAAAACTGCATTTGCCTTTCTGGCAGCCACATTACGCTGATGGCTCATATTCAGTTTGCAATCAACTGCTATTCTGAGATATTTTTTTTCACAAGCATCATTACCAACCAGATATCCCCCCTGCCTTCCTATATCCATGCATTTGATTTTTGTTTCCTAAGTAAATGACTTCTCTGTTAAATTTTATTTTGTTACTTTTGGTGCAGTTCTACATCTTACCAAGATAGTTTTGAATGCTATTTCCCTCTATCTCACTGTGGGGAACCATGAAGATGATCTTGGAGAAGCCATCCAGGTGCAGCAACAACAGGCACAGAGGCATGTGTTAAGCTCAGGGGGGTGAGAGAATATTAGAAAAAGACTCGGACCTGCTGTCCCCTTACTGTGCTCCCTGGGACATGAGGGAGAGAACGAAAACCACAAGCAGACTTGCAAGATTCTGTTACTATAGCCTATTTCAGAAAGGATAGTTCTAGTCTTCCTGTGGAGTCTGTTCCCTGATCTTGTTATCTCTGAGGCCCTGGTTGTATTCTTCCTTTGGACCTAGCTATCTTTCTATTTCCTATATCCAGTCCTTAAGAATTAGGTGTGCAGTTTGGGGTCCTCTTAGTTCCACGAACTTTAATGTGAAGGTGAGAGATCAGGCTTTCGTGATTCATGCACTAATACTCTCAAGAACACATGACTGTAATGCCCACTTCATAGAGGAGCCATTGAAAATGGCCTGGAAATGAGGCCAGGCCCAGAACGCGGCAACACAGATGAGCAGCACAGATGACCAGTATTGCTCAGAGGTCTTGCTGTGCTGAAACAACTTCACTGATTGCCTGCTTTCTTCCAAGCCCAATTTAAGATAGTGTATAAAGCCTTATGTGGTTTAGGTTTCAAATACTTACAGGTCTGTCCTGTACTGTTTGCACATCAATGGAGCCCATTTTATGGTTTCCTACCAAGGGTGCATTCTGCTTACTTCTGCTTTCTCTCTTGTAATCACTGCATTATGAAACAAAGTGCCACTAGAGTTGAAGTAAGATTGTCTTTGTTAGTTTAGGAGAGAAATGAAACCTGTTTTATTCCCTTAGACCTTTAATGCTTAATATTAAGTATTTTTTAATTGTTACGTGGTTTATGTTTTGTGTTTTTTTATGAAGCTTTAATTATTATTTTATTGCATTTTTCTAGGTCACCCAGAGCTGTTAATTAAGTTGGAAGCACATACATTTTCTAAATTAAAAAAAAATGAAATTAGGTATTTACTGAACTTTTTTTTGCTGATCAATCTGCTTGTTTGTATCAACTGCCATAGATCCAGTAAATTTAGCTTTGGGTTTGACTGACCAAATCCGATAACTACTTTGCAATTTGTAGAGGATATGAAAAGAATTCTTGAATTGAATTTAACTGAAATGAAAAATTGAATGTCCATATGCCATTATTCTGCCGTGGAATGCGGTCTTCTCCAGTTGGGTCCAAGGCTTGTTCTGAAGGCAGACTTCTCAGAAAAAAACTTAAATCTATTAATCTTTAGTCATCAGATTCTAATTTGATTTATTCTAGGTTTATAGTAATCAATTTTTTTCTGGTTTGCCTCTTCCTTAGTAGCTGCTTAAGCCCTCCAACAATCTGAACCAGAAGGCTGGGGAAATCTCTAGAGCAAAAGTTTATTTCCTTTGTTTCCACCAGAAGAATGTCTCTACTGGATCAAACACTAAAGAATGAGAAGATGAGATATCTGCGTTCAGCTCTATTACTGGTATTATCCAATGGTACAATAATCAAAATGACTTTCATAGTTAAGAAGTTATTTTTCCTAAGTTCAGCAGAAACATCCATAATGCCATCCGGATTCCATTCCATTCTATTTTTTTTTTTTTTGCATTAACTTGTTTAACTGTTTATTTCTATGGCCAACAAAAAAAGATGAAACTAAAACATCCACATATCACTATTCATTTCAAGTTAAGAGCCAGAATCCAAAGCACTGTGCAACTAACCGTATACCAACCCAGGAGGATACAGATTTAAGTTATGTGAGTACAAATTTGGGAGGATTTGAATCAAAGAGAATTCAGAAAAGAAATGTGCAATTTGACATGGCTGCTCGCTATATTTTGTAGTCAATAAATATTAAATATTGCTCACCTATTGTCTGATGGCAGTAGGGAAAGTAAAGCCAAAGCTGAAAGCTTTCTTCTCTCTGGCTGAGTTATATTATCCATGCGGTCAACCCACATTTCAATTATGTGACCAAGGAGATGGTCTGGCTAGAGAAAAACAAAGTTGGTATAAATCTCATTCATAAGCAAGATAAACAAACTAGCTATTTACAGGTACAATAAACAAAATGTAATTTTATATGTAGAAGTTTTTGTTATTCTGCCAACATTAATCAATTAACTTGGATTCCAAAATATACTGCAACACCTTTGAACACTATAAATAAAACATGCATATGCCTGCGAACAAAACTATGCATGGCATATGTGAACTATGAAAATAAACTACACGAGGGCTCTAAATTAAAAATAAAAATGAATGTGCCAACATACATTTCATGAAGTACATATTTTTTGAAGCTACATGTTTTT